ATGATGGCGCCACATTTAAAGAAATTTTGAGGGACAGTGCCTCTTGTGAACCCCATACAGTCTATGTGGAGGATTTAACTTGTACAGTATTTTGAGCTTTTCATATGACAGATTTGTAAATGTATATTATTTTTTTAAAAACATTACATATTAGCTTTGCCAAACCAAGGTATTTATACATATTCAGGCATTTTTATGTCTTAAATGAAAGAGATCTGATAGAGAGCTGACAGAAAATAAGGGGAGATAACAAAGGTCTGTGGCCAGCCTTAAACCGGGAATGTTGTGGTTTGCTGTCAGGACTTAGTTCACCAGGGCAACCCCCAACGCACATTAAGGCTGATGAGGAATCATTACCAAGATTTTTTGGCATCAGATGTACAATATTTTGGTGCCTGGGGATTCATTTTGCCTTGGAAATTGACATAGTCCTATGGGTATAACCATTATTACTTTATACTTGATTAAATTGGATGAGAAGAATTGCTTTGAAGTACGCTACATTACGTAAATCTTCCTGGAACATAAGCTGTTTAGAAAACCCTTTGCAATAACCACAAAATAACTGAGCTGCACATAAATAGTACTAAGAAACAGGAGTTCCTTGTGTTTTACTGCTGAACCAATGCACATGATCCTGTTCCACGTTGCTCCAGGTGCCCAGATCGATGACAACATGCCGAAGAGATCCTCGGCCAGGATCCTCGCTCCTCCTGGTGGGAGATCCAGTGGGATCTGGTAACCAATCAGACGGCCAGTACATGAGGCGGAAGAATGATACCTGAGGGAAACATATGGCCAAGCAAGATGACTTGTTTTTCTTTCTGGATGCTTAGAATGTGTGTGTGTGTGTGTGTCGGGGGGAGGGGGAGGTAATGAAGTCATGTTTTTATTTTGAACTCAGCACAGTTACATTAGACTGTAAAACATTAAACTGTATGACATTGCCGTAATAATATTGGAATGTGGATCAAGAACAAGTATTGTTAAGTGGTTATAGCTACCAAATTTCAGTCAAATGTTAACCAAATATAAGCAGCAAATAAAAAATGAGTTGCCACTGAATTACTTTGGCTGATGGGTCATGTTAGGGAAATATCTTACTAATAGTTTTAGGAATATGAAGGTGAGTCATGGTTTTTATGATGCGATTGTGTTACCTCACTGTAAAATACGATTTTGCACTTATATCATGTACTATTTAGATGCCTTTTTACATGATTTAATGTCACAAATATCACAAATGTCTTTTTACTGCGAGCCATGGTGAATGAAATGTAATAAATTATTACATGGGTGTCAGCATGACATTAATATGTCCGTTATAAAAAAGAAATCTAGTTGCAATTGACCAATTGATAAAAAAAAAAACACAATGCAAGCTAACCTTTTAAATGTGTTTATTTATTTTTTATATTTCATTATTTGTTGAACTTTTCGTTGATGCTACTGTGTCAGAATTATTTCCTAAATTCAGTAGTTCGTCATTGTCAGATTAGCATTTCAGATCATGTTTACAGCCTTATAGCAGAATAGACTTCTGTTCCACCCCCACCAAATGTGAATGAACCTATGCTGTGTGTACTGTGCATGGTAGCATAGTTAGAACTACTGTAATAAGCACTAATATTGCATATAGCATTCTTTTGTGATCGTATCCATTTTTCCACAGAGAGCAAAAAGTCTCACCCAAACTGCCTTTTTCTCACCTGAGAACACTGACACCCACAAACACATCGTCCCATACTGCCGGTACAGATCGTGACATGTTGATCACTGTCGTTTCTTTTAGAGTGGCACTTTTTACTGCTTTGATGCGTTCTGGTCTGAAACGCAAGGGTTTAAAAAACGTTCCTCTGACTGACACTACCAATGTAACACGCCACTGTGAAGCATACAGCGTAGGTGATGTGATCCTCTTTAACATTCACAGAGTTGACAGCAGACATGTTTGTCAATTAATGCCATTTCTTCAGGGGATCAGCCTTCATACTGTATGTCACTGAAACTGGAAGGCATGCTTGTTTAGCAACTACAGAAAAGCACTGATACTACTACTGTATTTTTATTGTTTGTTTTTAGTTACAGACGTCTTCTTGTGAATAATTGTCTTAGTAATTGTTTTTGTTGTATTTTTGTCAATACTGCAGTGTTAAGCAGGGGTGCACACAAGATTTTGATCATGTTTAGACCCAGTTATGTTCAGGAGATCATGTTACAGTAAAAGTCCTACATCACTCTTTGTTGTTTTGTTTTTCTGACTGATTTCACTTTTAATCCTTAGAAGCTCCGGTGAATCTTGTTGTGTCTTCCCCCTCCCAAATGTACACTGGTGCTGAACAATGTGTCGTCACATTGAATTCCTTTTATCTCTTATTTTGTCTTGCAGCTCTTTATCACATGATTTGAGTGCAAATAAACCACAATAAAATCTGCAGCTGGCTCCTGTGTCTTATTGCTGACCCGTGGTGGAAAGTACATTGACTCGAGTTTACTTTGGTATTTCTATTGCGTGCTAATTAAGTTGTACTTCACTGCATTTCAGAGGGATTGTACTTTAAACTCGACCACATGTATTTTACAGCTACAGTTCCAACTTTTTTGGCGTGTGACCTTTAACAAACTCACAGTGTCTGGTTGTGGTTCGTTGCCATATTTCAAACGTCTACGTGTTGTTAGCAGTCTCACCAATAACGGATGTTCCCTCTACCTCCTCAGATGTAGATGTTTTACGTAAATTGCGGTTTGAGGGCCACAGAGGTTAATCTCTTTGATATTTCACTGAATATGTTATATATATATAATATTTCTTCTTTTCTAGACATTTAATCATCTCACAACCCCTCGGATTGATCTTTTCATCTTTAGGAGGAGAACTCACTCACAGGAAACGTTTTCTTGCAGAAGGAGCATAATTACTTTTGATACTTTAAAGTACATTTT